GGCTTTTGCGCTATCTCTATGGGAATCTTAGCCTGCCAAACAGACTTACACGACTACTTGTAGTGAGGGTTTTCAGATTGCACATAAGAGGAAGATCAATTTGCTCATCAGTCGAGCTAACATAACCTGCAGTTGAGATAGACTTTTGTACAAATGGCACTCTGTCAATGTGCCGTTTAGACTCAGCGTTACTGTAGCTAGGAGCGAGTTGAGTTACTTGTTGATCTGAGTACGAAACTCATCAATTGAAATGAAGCGTGGTTACTAGGTACAATTTGCTGGCCAGAGACCAACGACTTGTCATCAGCTTAGCGGCATACGCAGGCCCGTAACGACAATACAGCACGCAGACAAGACCAGATGAAAGCCTACAATCATGAGTGAATATCCCGACGAGAGTTATGGTAGTCAACTAATAGTTGGATTCCTGGTTAGTAGAGTGAGCATAAAATGTCCCCAAACTCGCCGTCCAAAGCCCTCCCCCAGCCCGAGAAGTACCTACTCATCGCAACACGAAGGACTAAAAGTTAGCCGTCGTCACCGGTGATGCCTTGGGTATCGGCGCCGCCATCGAGACGGTCGAGTTGCACGTGCCGCGGGCAGATGATGGACTCCATGGGCACAGCGATGGATGAACGGTGACAGAGATGGGGCAAAGGTGGTCGAAGTGCTTATTGGCCAGATGCATTTCGGGGCTGGCAGGCGTCCCTGACCGAGTTGCACATATGACCGTCCCAGCCCCTGAAATGACAGCTTTATGCTCAGGCGGACATTAGATTGAAGATGTACTCCTGCGTGAACCGTTGTGAGTGCGTAAGGGGTAGTAATCCTACTGCTGAAAAGGTAACTTATGCAACTACCTACAGATAAACTGTCCTTTGGCACTGTTTCTTGACAACAACATAGCTCTCGATACGTGTATAGGTTGGCTCTCTGGTATTATACCCAAGCGTCTCAGATGCCATCTGTTTACGGCGGACCGTCGGTCTGATCATCCTACACGGCGCGCCCGCAACGCGAGCCCGGGCCGCCATCTACCTGCCCGCGTCGGTACACGGCATGGCACGGGCGGTGCGCTTCGCCGCGCCGCCCCGCGATGTGGCCGGGCTGACGCACCATTACCGGGACGGGAACGGCAGACATGCGATCCCTGTTCTCTGCCTTAAGCACGTAATGATCCGTATCGGCCTGACGATAGGCGGAATATATCTAGACGTCTAGGTCCGCTGCATTTCCGCAACAGGGGGCGGCCTTCCAGAGTTCCCCGATCGCTCGGCCTACATCAGAACCCGCTGCGGGCCGGTCTGACGGACGGCGCCGGGGCTGCGCACCACAGTTTAAGAGCTGTTGTAACTCGTACTTCGCAGCCTCTCCTGTGAACAACGTCAAAACTGTTGAACTCGGACCCACGGCCACCCGCTTTGCCCACAGTCCGAGTAATAAAATCTTGCACACCCCCCTTTGTTCTGTTCGAGATGGCATCACTACCTGTCAGTACAAGGTCGAAGACACTGGCAGAGACACTTGCCAGCCGCCGAATCTTACCATCGAAACCAACTCTTCCGTTCCTTACCGCACACTTACCCCGAAGGCCACATACCCTCCGACGGACGACACATCCATCCTACCTGCCCACGGCAGCGCTCCACAGCAGCCGGGTCCTCCTCGACATGATGAACGCGGCGCGCGTGACCCGATGGGGCCAGCCCCCGCAGCACGTGCAGGTCGTGCCGCCGCCGCCGCCGACGGCCTCGCAGCTGCAGCTGCGGATGGAGGCGGTCGGGGTGCCGCGGGTGGTGCTCGGGCGGGCGGCGGGCGCGCACCCGAGCGCGCGCGGCGCCGCCCTGCCCTTCGACCCCAGCGTCGACGGCGTCGGCCGCGACGAGGCCACCGGCGACCTGTACTACGTCGGCGCCATGGCGGCGCCGCTGCTGGCCGAGCGCGCCAACGTCGAGCGCCACCAGCTGCAGCGCCTGGGCGTGGGCGTGGGCGTGGGCGGCCCCGGCGACGGAAGAGGGGCAGGGGGAGGGGGGAAAAGAGAAGATGTCGACCCCGTCGCCGTCGCCGCCCTCGTCAACCCCGTCGGCAGCAGCTGGATGGCGCTGCGGGCGCGCACGCTCGGCGGCGTCGAGCGCCGCACCGTGCTCAACGACGGCTCGGAGAGCAGCGGCGAGGCGTCGGCGGCGGCGGCGGGAACGGCGACGGCTTCGGCGATCGCGGGCCTCGGCGCCGTGCACGTGGTGCTGGATTTCGTGGGCGGGGCGGCGGCCGAGGCGGTGCTCGAGGCGGCGGAGTGCGCGCCGGGGGGCGAGGACCTGCAGTACATCCACATCGGGGACCTGGGCGGGCGGCCGAGCATCGCCGTCAGCGGGTCCCTGCTCAACCGGAAGCCGGTGCGCATCGCGGGCTCCGGGGTCGGCGCGTGGAGCCCGGCCGACATGCGGCGGGAGATGCCGGCGCTGCTGGCCGTCGTGGCGCGGATGCCGCGGCCGGCGGACGCGTGGACGGCGCGCCTCGCCGACGTGGCCGAGGCCTGGGCCAGCGAGGACGCGAGGACGAAGCGGCTGGTGATGGTCCCTTAGCTTAAGCAGCTTGAAGGGATGGAAGCTCGGAAAAGGAGGCAGGCCATGGCGGAGAGGCCGGTCACTGGTCAGCAGAGCGTGCGTGATCGGGGCGACGTTGCGCCATATTCTCAAACGACCAAGATGTTGTATAGGGAGAGGGAACTCCGGCAGCTCCGGCGCAGATCTGGCTGTAGGTATCCGGTACTTTACAGAGGGACGGCTTTGGCGGATATATGGGGCCGAACCGGCATGGCGTGCTCTCACATGACTTGAACTAGGTACTTAGCCGTGCTTCGGCCTGCGCCAAATACCTTCGCAATCAGGAGACATTCTCCTAACGTGTGGCTTGCGGTTATAGTATATGCCGCAGGGTCCACTCCGTGCCGGGATCTGACAGGATTGCTACCTAGTCTTACAACCTACAAATACTAGTACGGAGTACGTTCGTACTGGTCTTCGTGTAATAATGAACCGTCTCACGTAACCGTCTATCGACCAAAAATTCTCCTCATTCCAGCCCCGACGAAGCATCATGGCCAGTGCCGCCGTGCTTCGTCCGCTCGCCAGAGTCCCCGTGCGGGCCCTCGCAAGAGGTTATGCCACTCCAAGCAAGGCTCACCACCGCATCGTCATTGTGGGTGGAGGCTCGGCCGGCGCCTCAGCTGCCGCCCAGTTACAGCGGTCTCGCAAGCTCGACAAGAAGGATATCGCGATCCTGGACCCGTCCCAGACACACCACTACCAGGTAAGACGGCCTGCTATCACCTTAAGAGTGCCGCCCCTGACGGTGAAACAGCCCGGATGGACGTTGGTAGGCACTGGCCTCAGGTCTTTGGAGGAGATGCAGAGGCCCATGTCGTCTATCATTCCGAGTGGAGTGAAGCACTACCCGCTCCGAGTCTCGGGCTTTGACCCCGAGAACAACGCCGTGAGGACGAACGAGGGCGTCGACGTGACCTATGATTATCTGGTCGTGGCTCCGGGTCTCGAGTGCAATTTCGCCGGTGTCTCGGGGCTCGAAAGCGCCCTTCAGGACCCAGCTGTCCCGGTCTCATCTATCTACTCCCACAGCACCGTCGAGAAGGCGTGGAAGAATATCCAGGGTCATAAGAAGGGCCAGGCCATCTTCACTCAACCAGCCGGCGTCATCAAGTGTGCTGGCGCACCACAAAAGGCCATGTGGGTGGCTCGCTCACAGTGGAAGCGCGATGGCGTGCTTAAAGACATCGACTTGGCTTTCGCGACCGGCGCCCCCGGTACGTTGAAAAAAGATTGCCGACTGTACCCGTCGTCGCGTTCCGCTCCCTTGCTGACAGCAGTATAGCCATGTTTGCCGTGCCAAAATACGCCAAGGCGTTAGAGCAGCTGCGACAAGAGCGTAATGTGGAGGGCCTGTTCCAACACAACCTAGTGGGTGTAGACGCCAAGAACAAGGTCGCTACGTTCAAGAATCTCGCAGACGGCAGCTCAGTCCAGAGGGAATTCGGGATGCTGCACGTTGTGCCTCCGCAGAAGCCTTTCGACTGGGTTGCCAAGTCCAAGATCGGTGAGTCCACGACACAAGAACTGTGGACAACGGGGAAACTAACCGTTTTCTCTCCCCTGCAGCCGACTCTGCCGGATGGGTAGATGTCGACAAGTTTACGACTCAGCACAACACCTACAAGAACGTGTTTTCCATTGGCGACGCTTCAGGTCTTCCCAACAGCAAGACCGGTGCGGCAGTCACCTCTCAACTCCCCGTCTTGGTCGACAACATGCTGGCACAGATGGAGGGCAAGCCACTGAGGGCAGCCTACGATGGCTACGCAAGCTGCCCTCTGTTGACGGGTCATGGCGAGCTCATGCTCTGCGAGTTCAAGTACGGCGGTATCCCGAAGGAGACTTTTGGCCCCTACCTCGGAGGCCAAGAGACGCCTAACCGCCTTTACTACCACCTTAAGAAAGACTTTTTCGTAAGTGGTACTCTGTGTCTTGAACCGCGTCGTACTCGATCTGACTGACTCGCTCTAGCCTTGGGTCTACTGGAACGGCTATGTGAAGGGAACGTGGTTCGGACCGTCGGGATTCATCAGACCCAACACCATCCCGAAGGAGGCTCCCGCCCCGAAGGCGGCATAGACGACTGGGCTGGTCAGATTTTGGCCTGGGTTTTCAAATTAGAGCGAGCATTATGCCACACCTGTACAGTACAATGGCAGTGATAGATTGCACATGTCAGAACAATGTTATAAGCTACAACAAACTCAACAACTTGTCTTGAGGCCGTTGAGCAGCCCCTGCTATCTTGAGTGGCAGTTGCATGGTATACGGACATGATTGGCTAGACTAGGGATACAGCTTAAGTATTGCGGATCGCATTTTGGTAGGTCAAGTAGCCCCATAGTGGGCTGCAACTCAACTCGTCACGTGGTAGTTGGAGAATTCCAAATACCTTTCGCCGTGGCCTAATGGTTAGGGCGCCAGATTTCGGCTTGTTCCTGATCGCGGGTTTCCAAACTCTGGAGATTGCCGGTTCGAATCCGGTCGGCGAAGCTCACTCCGGTTCAATTCCGGCTCGCGGACGATTATTTTTTCGTATTTTGTTTTTCCATTCGTCTCTTTACTCTTTTTTCTCTGTACAATGTCACGACAGCCGGCGGGGCGCGATCGCAGAGGGACCCGGATGCTGATGGCAACCAATGACCGGATCCGCGGATTGCCTTCGTCTCTCTCCTTCGTCTCTCTCCTTCGTCTCTCTCCTTCGTCTCTCTCCTTCGTCTCTCTCCTTCGTCTCTCTCCTTCGTCTCTCTCCTTCGTCTCTCTCCTTCGTCTCTCTCCTTCGTCTCTCCTTCGTCCTCTTTCTTGGGATCGATTCCCTACCCCCTCCCTCGTGACAATCTGCCTGCCTCCGTGATGACTGTTATAGCCGCGACTCGCAATCGGTCGCTGGTTCGGAAAACCTCAACTCAGCCACGCTCTCACCGCATCCGCGCTGAGATGTTATCCCCGGCTAGCCACCGAATACATTCAAGTCACAAGTTGATCGGCTGAAAGCCAACATGCAGTAAAAATCAAAGGGTATCATTTGCGACTGAATACGGGAACGACAGAGCTAATTTTTCCCCCTCATTACTTACCTACCTCCTCACATGCCACCACTATCTGCTGCTGCTGCTGCTGCTGCTGCCGCTGCCGCCGCCGCCGCTTACCAGGCCTACATCCCTGATGCTGCGCGTCGCCTATGTCGCAGCCCAGCCGTTCGGCGTAGAAGATCTTGGCCTTCTTATATATTCTCCCACCCAGGTCTCTGAGGCGATCCCTCCTCCCGCTGCCACCGCCGCCGGCGGGACGACGCGTGCCTCGACTCACATCCGCCCCGCCGGACACCTCCTCGTCGACGACGACGACTGGGGGCGGCTCCTCCGACCGCTGCTCCTCTGGGCCGGCAGCGTCTTTTCCGGACGAGAGGGACGGAGCGGTCACGAGCGTGATGTCGGCCCCGAAGCGGCCCCGGCCGGGCAGCAGCAGCCTGGCGGTCTGGCCTTCGTCGGTCGTCTCCTCTTCCTCCTCCCTCTCCTCCTCCCTCTCCTCCTTTTCCTCTTCCTTCTCCCGGCCACGGCCGTCCACCTCCGCCCTCGCGGCCTGGCTTGGGCCATCGTCGAACGTGACCCTGAGGCGGCGGATCGTCACGTTCGGCGCGTCGACGTCGTCGTCACAAGCGGCGGCCGCCGCGGCCGCCTGCGAGGACTCGGGCGTGGGGTCCCTCGTCGTCCGCGCCGTGCTCGCCTCGGCAGCCCACGTGCCGGCGCCCGAGAGCTGCGAGAGAAGGCTGTTGTCGGTCGCCTCCCGCCGCCAGCTTGGCTGGACGCGCGGCTCCTGCTGGACGACGACCGTTCGCGGCGTGATGACCGACGCACCACCACCACCACCACCACCACACGGCGGCTGACGGTCCTCCTCCCCCTCGGCAGACGCGAGGGTGTACTCGGCTGGGACCTCATCCACCGCGGCTTCGTGGTGGTGGTGATGATGATGCTGGATTCCGCCTGCTCCACCCTCGCTGACCGCGGCTCGGTGGTGGTGGTGATAGTGTCGGATTCCGCCGGCTTCACCCTCGCTGACTGCGGCTCGGTGGTGGTGGTGATGATGCCGGATTCCGCCTGCTCCAGCCTCGCTGACCGCTCTCTCCTGCGCTCTCACCTGATCCCTCTCATCGAGGATCTTCTGTTGCAGAACGGCGGACTCCTCGTCGTTGACAGGAGCAGGGGTGAGGGCTCGCTGTGCATCATGCATGTCAGTAATGCGACTGCGCACCATCGAGCGTGGTGAGATACGTGCCCCACGAGTAAGACTGGCACTCGATAACCTATGGGTAGACTTTGGTTTCGTCTTCACACAATACTGGTCGTCGCTGCATTTTTTGGATATTTTTTCGATCTCCGCCCGGCACGCCTCTGCTCTGGCTCGCTTCCTTTTCTCGGGGTTGAGGAGCTTCTCCTGGATGAGGTCCAAGAAGTCATGCAGGCATGGGGCACATTGAGGGTGTTCCTTGAGCTCAGTGATCCACTGCCCTTCCCGTCAGTGCATGCAACCAGTCGAAGGGGTGGCGGTGGAAACTCACATCCAGAACTGACTTCTTCACAGTCGCTACACCCTCGAGAATGTTGAAGAACTTATCACCCGCCCATTGAGGACTATCGGGATTGATTATGTCGTCTTTGACCCGAGCCTGTGTGAATACGGCTTTGATATTGCGGTCTCCCGTGAGAAACCATGAGATGAACTCAAGGTAGAGACATCCCAAGCTCCACATGTCATATGCCTGGGTTATGGTATCTTTCAAGTCGTACTCCGGCGGTCGGTAAGTGGAGGACAGGCCGCCCACCCGCTCAATAGCAACCCTGGAAATGGATTTATCAGAGTGGAAGCTTGTGAGACCAAAATCTGTGATGACCAGGTCCGGCTTGTTGTCAGGGATGTCGAAGAAGAGTATATTCCGAGGCGTGATATCACCATGCCTCCCTCTGTTCTTGCTCTCTGAGTCGGGCCTGACTAGTCCCGCGTCGGGGGATAATGATAGATGCTTGTGAATTTTCTTGAGGCCGTCGGTAAGTCCAAGACACTGCTCCATTAGCCATCGGACATCTGATATGGATCCAGGATTCATTTGCCTCTGCTGCCAGAGATTCTCCAAGTTGCCTGTGGCTAATCGGAACACCAGGTAGTACTTGTCTCCATGCTGTATCGCCATCAAAAGTCGGATTAGATGGCGATGACCTCTTTTGGGCCCGCAAAACTTTTCCAGGGCTTTGACTTCGTCTTTGAATTCTTGGTGATCGGTCGACCAAATCTGTTTGACCGCGAAGTACGGGTTGCTCTCGCTAGTGTCCTGCGTGAAGTCAGCGCTGGGCTTCGCCTGCGTTCAGGGAGTGCCCTACCTTGTCTACGAAGTCATGATGGGACGGATGCATCTTGACTTTGGACACAGTCGCGTATCCCCCCCTGGTCAGTTGCTCCCACTCGAGGAACGGGAGGCAGACTTTTGGTTCCTCTATCTTATGGAAGACTACTTCTCTCTGAGCCATGGCGAAGAACGGGACAACGAAGCGGTACTGGTAATCGCAGAAGTCGCCCATCTCGAAGTATTTCCAATGGCCATCGAGACAGTCCAGCGGTTGGCACTCTGGGTCGTCTTCCTTGTCACATTTCCTGTAAAACAAAATTCGATTTTTGTTCCCGGGCTCCGTGAATCGTCGTAAGGGAAGATGTGAATCTCGCACATCATTCTTGATGAAATGAGTGATGGACTGGGCCTTTTTCATCGCTATGAGTGTAGCCAAGATCAGAAGGCGGCCTGTCTTGGGATCACAGACGGCATTGACCATTTGGCCTAGTGGCTCATCATCTCCAGGGAATATTTCTTCCAGCAATCGCTCGACCCTGTCGCGGGAGAGCAGTTCAAACAATTTGCCAAGTGGCAAGAAAGATTCTCTGGATTCGCCCCCGTGTTTCGATTCCTCTCGTTCCAAATCGAGCTCATTGGTCAGGTTATTCAGGACTGAGTTCTGTTCCGATTTCCTGGAAGCAGCCTGGGGAGCTTGATCTGTTGGAGCGAAAGATCCGCCGACCGCCTTCAAGTCCCTATCGCGATCGTTCTTTGGTGAACTCACAGACAGTTGTTGGTTCTTGAGCTGCTCCTTCTCAACCTGTAGCCAACGTTCCTGGATACCGTAGTCATCCACGGTTATAATGCTGGTGAAGTCGGTGATACTCTCGACAGCCGAACGAGGGCCGCCGACTGGGGAATTCTCGTCCACGGCGAGAGGTCTCCTGTACTCGTCTGGGGTTTGAAGGTATAGTCGTGGATTCTCGGACCCTGCCAGTCCAAGGCGGGTACGTACGCTCGAAGAGGAGAGCCTCGCGTTTAGGTTGGCGTTTTGGGCTACATCTTCAAGATCGACTTCCTCGTCCGATTCTGCGTCGTCTGGGGTCGCGCTGCGTATCAGTTCGTCCGTCACGGACGTGAAAGGCTCTTCTGAATCCATGGCAGCGATGACAACTCAGGGGGTCGTTTGAATGCCTACTGGTGGTCCAAGAACACCAACCAGCTGCCGATTTCCCGTAGAGCCCTGGGTTCTGTGTGGTTGGGTGTCGTTGGCCTAAGGTTCAGAGTAAGAGCCTCGAGCAAGGAGCCCGGGGCCCCCAGGGCTACCCATAGTTATTTTGGGTCCCAATTCTTCGAGGTTAAACCCGACTACCTACTATCCGAATGCGGCTCTGCGACGACATCGCTACTGAGCCCCTCCAGATCTGCAGAACACTGCCCTCTTTGGGTGCCTCAGTACCTCTTCGCCCCCGCGAGCCTGCTGATGCCATGCAGGATGAGGGGACTGGGCTCTGCCTCACTACCTCTTCGCCCCCGCGAGCCTGCCGGTGCCATGCAGGATGAGGGGACTGGGTTCTGCCTCACTACCTCTTCGCCTCCGCGAGCCTGCTGGTGCCATGCAGGATGAGGGGACTAGGCTCTGGAGACTGGACAGACCGGAAGAAAGACAAGGCATTCAGAGCTCCGCTACGACTTGAACCACAGAGCCTTGGCTAAATAAGGAAACTGAATAGGTACGTATGCGAGTAAGCAGCGTTTCTACCCACATTGGAGTAGCGGTGACCGGTCAAGGCCGTAGGTTGTCTAATTAGATACGGTCATTATTATTGCTCTTCCTTCTTCTTCGAGATACCGTACATGATAGATCATAGGACTTGCAATTGTCCTGAACAATCGTGTTTCTAGACCGTTCTATCGCAGACAGCGGCCACTAAGCACATGAATCTGACACATAAGTTACCATCTGAAGACGGAAAAGGGAAAAAGAAAAATGTCCTTATTTGGGGGCTGGTGATTACCGAGCTCTGTCCCGTGTCTGCCTTGCGGTGGTTGCCTTGCAGGCAAGTTTGGCACTGCCACCCCTCTTCTCAGACTTACGCCACCATCTAAGCGAGCTGTACCCTCATTCGTTCATTCACCGAGAAGATGACCTCGAGCCTATCTCACG